CAGAAAATCCTAAACAATCATATCGTTTACTTGGTTTTTTTTATTTTTTTATTTTATATCTTTTTGTAAAGAAAAAACTATTTTTTTTTTCTTAATAGTCTTATGAACGTGGACTTAGCGCGATTTTTTTTTTACAGTGAAACTGTTTTTGTTCGGATTTTTAGTATTTTTTGTAATTATAATAAAAATTTACAATTGGTACCAACTTAAATCTCGCGTTGGCTGCATTTTTTATAGCAAACTATCCCCTTGAAGCTACAGTTTATGTAAAAATAATTCCAGCGCACCCTGGCAGGTGTAGACACAAGCTGTGAAATATCTTTTTTTAACTGTAGTTTCCCATCTAATGAAGGATTACTATACATTCTCGAATATTTTAGTCTGTGGCAGATCACTTTGCCCATCGAAAAAAAGTCAGGATCGAAATTTTTGCGTTGCTATAGTTTGTGCTGATTAATTGTTATAAGTGAATATAATTAATTAATAACAGTAAAATAAAGTATGAATTACTGTTATAATATACAATTTAGGAAAAAAAAGTACCGTAGAATTAAATAAAATTTTGCAACTTCAAAATACCGTTCTGCTTACAGTAAACACAGTCGGTAGTCTGGCGCTCCGTTGACAACGGATTTGAACGGAACTTGGCGCCAGATTCTACCGAATCTGTGGATCTCACATCAGTATCAACACTATCATCAGTGATAGTTCAGCAGAGTTTTTCTCAAACGAGACTCCATTTCTTCGTGTCAATACTTATTTTCAATATTACCTGTAATCTATACACTACATCCTAATTGATAAGCATATTTCGACATGGTTTATTGTTAAAGACTATCGTTACAATGAGTGTGACACTCTTTGAGGCTCAAAGCTTTAAGTTTGATAAGTAGAAATTTTTCATGTAGACTAACCTCAATGAAATATAATACTCTCTAAATGTTTAGCGAATTAATATAGTATAGCAAAGGTTTGGCTTGGTCCCAAAAACAAGAGCGCGGACATTACTCTCGTATGTACTGGATAGATCAGTATATACAGTAGATATTTATACTGTGACGCACCGCCCACGTTACAAAGATAAGTATAACGATGAGCGATAATGACCGTGATAGTACAATAACAAGACATTACGGTGTCACGCAACGTAGATTTCCCCCACTCTTCACTTTCGAGGTCACTATACCCCATCAAATACGGTATGCACACTGGCGGATACGGTATTCAAGTTTTGGCTTTAGACGTGTAACGACTTATCTATTCGAAGATTAAGTGTGGAAAAAAGTAGAAGAAATTGGTTTATCTATTAACGAAGAAAAAGAGATACTGATGGAAATATTTGGAATTCATACATGAAGTAGATACAAGCATCAAAATGGTATGTTTTAACATTAATTTTTTTTGAAGTAATACGTAAATACTGATACCATAGAATATTCGATGGAAAACTCCACGTGGCAGGTCTGTGAGCGAATGAGGCTCGCTCGGGTGAAATCTATTTATAGAATGGCGTGACTGGCGTTGTTTTACGATATCGATTTACTTTGGATTTACGAAAGTATTTTTATTTGTTTCAGATGAAACGTCATAATAACTATAAGCGAGCGTTTTATGTCGTTCAATTTATAGAATTGCCTTTTGAAGGTATTGATGATTACGTATGCGTGCCGTACACTTGGCTGATAGTACGTAAAGCGACGGATCAGAAGGCTGTCGTTGCTTACCCTAAAGACGAAGATCCTTTCAACACCAGAGATCGCGTTAAAAGGAAAGAAAGACACAATCACGAGTGGAGATTTTATATGGCTATCGTTAAATATGAATCAGGTGAGTTTGAATCAATGTATTAGGTAATTCGATTGTGCGTAGTATTGTCGCAGTATATTTGAACCTAGATAGTCTCAGAAATTGAGAGAAAGTAATATTTTTTTTATTTTTTCAGATAGTTACGGAGATGCAGAATATTGGATTGCGACAAGAAATGATTATGGTCCTTTAGTAGAAAAAGAATTAAAAACAACAGGTGAGAATCGAATCAGTTTATTAGTCTTAACGATTTAATTTCCATTGTAAATTTATTTTTAGATCCAACTTATTTTAAATTTAAAGCCCTCCAAATTATAACCAATCTTTTTATTTCCAGATTCAGAACCAAAGTTCCCGTTAAACAAGAAATTGCGTGTTGCCAACCGAAACCATTCGTCCAAATTAAATGATAATCCTCGGAAACCACTGCCGAGAATATCAATCAAGCGACCAGCACTACCAGAACCGAACAAACAACTTGATGGGAAACGGATAAAACTGGATGACGCTGCTCAGTCATCTAGCGCTGTTGTGACTGACGCTAATGCAGAGCCTGGATCATCAAGACAGGAACAATCGATTATCGCTCAGGACAACCAACCAATGGAATCTGCTCAGACAGAAACAACTGCTAGTGATTCTAACGGTACATCAAGCTCCTCTCAGCGGAAAGATGAAAACCTCCAAGAATCGTTACCAATACAAGAGCAACAAGAATTGGGTATGCCGTACATAGATGTAGCTACATCAGATACACCAGCCCTTGTTATAGACGAGGATGAAGAAGTCCAGACTGCCAGTATTGTGGAACAGCAAGTACCCTCTAATCAAGCTATCTCACAATTTACTGAACAGCCGGAACCCATCCGGGAACCTAAAATTCCAGTGGCCCCATCAATAGAGATGACTAACAATAGTCAAGGATCCCGCATGGATGACGCCTTAAATAACGGACCTACTTCTAATCGCTTACTGAATTCACCAAAAATTTCTGCTCAACTATATAGTCAAATGATCGAGGCACGGCGTTTAATACCGACTCAAAAACCGGTTGAGAAAAATTTGCGCCCCATGAATATCGCAAGAAATTTGGCCATTACCGAACATAACTCATCGAATTTAATGGACCAAACTGGATCTTTATCGACGCGCTCAGTGCCGATTCAACAACAACATCACACGTCGTCATATCAGAATCAAAATCTACCGACTAATCAAAGTAACTTTGAACAAGACTTACTTAGCAAATCTGCAGAGACCAACAATTACGAACAGCGTCCTAACTCTCGGCCTATCAGAATGAGTACTCCATCTATCGGACAAAATTCTATTAATTCTTCCACTCCGTTATACCAGATCTCCGAGCTTCCACAACTAAGACAGTCGCAGCCATCTCAGCAAGACTCACAACGGCAACCACAGAAACCGAAAAGACGTATTGGCACCTCTACCAAGCCACAAAACAACCGGCAAACACCTACTTTTCAAGTCACAAAAGAAACGCTGTCACCTATTCTTACGAAGGTTCTAAATTCGCTACGACAAGCATTATCAACTACTCATAACCAATATCTTCTGAACGAGCAGCAATTTCAGGGAAATCATAGTGAACGTGCACCTGTTGATGAAAATCATCTCAGCCAAATTGACAATACATTGCAAACAGATGAGCGGATGGAAGAAGAAACTCCGTCAGCGCATCATGGGGCAAATTCAGATTCCGATACTATTACCGATCATGAAGTCACCTCAGATCATGAGATGTCTGCAGATGAAGCACCTGTTGAAAGAACGAATAACTTTTACGGCCCTGGAATCAGTTCTGGAAGTAGCTCTGCACACAGACCGATAGCTGCACAAAACTCTACGAACCACCAGACGCATTCTAAAGTTGTATTGGAGCAGCAAATGTTAGACAACTTTGCTACACTCTTCACTCAAATGGGATCTACTTTGCGTTATACTACTGATATGTACAACACCCTACGGAGTTCGATCCTCGATACTGCCCAAACATACAAAAAATTATTGGGTGCAGTCGAAGAATTCAACTCAGCGCAAAAATTAGCCAGCAATTCATCTTCTTCGAGCAACCGACGAGAAGAAGTCTCACAGTTCCCTGAAGAAAGACACATGAAAATATCAGCAAGGGCAAATTCAAGTTATACCAATCGCTATAACGAGGAAGTTGCTAACAATCCACCGAAGAAAAAACACAACTCATGGCGTTTTGTTCTACCATCGGAATATGATCCTCGTGATACCAGATGGACATTGAAGTATCGAACCAATCTGCCGGGACTTGTAGAACTTATGCCTCAAAGTGATGTTTACGTCAGCTACGGAGACCTCAAATACTGTCAGCAAGTATCAAAAGATTGCAAATCATTAGCACTACGATTATTACCAGCAGTATTCAACAGCAAAGCATTGAGTGTTTGTTTATCAATTACTGAGAGAGCGCAGGCTTCTGATAATGTTCGATCTAATGCAAGGCCAGAATTAGATGATCACGCGTGTTCGGCACTGTTAAATTTCGTTTTAGAACACGGACTACAACGTGGTTGGAATACTGACCTGCAACCTATCCTCAGTACTTTACACAGTAAGATTCAAGAGATTCGGTTCAGATATGGTGTGATGGTTGAATGTTAAATATTATGATTACTAATAATTGATCGTAAGTCGAGTTATCATTTGTTCTCAAATGCTGAGGCTAACAACCTTGCCATTTATTTATTAATTCATTCATTTAATCAATCACTTTCATAGATCTTTCATCATAGCAACTTATTGCATTCCATCTTTAATGCGCTCAACAATTTTATGTTATACTTTTTAGATTTTTAGAAAAACGTATTGTACAAATGTCATAGTGAGCTATTATATTTTTAGTAAAAAGTGTTTCTGTCCTATTATTATTAAGATTTAAATATGTATTGTCCACCTGTATTATTTATCATAGCAGAATTTATTATCTATTAGTTTTATGATAGTGTATTAGTTGAATTTTTGGGATGGTTTACGGGTATTTATTATCATTTTCAAGACTGTAGTTAAAGTATTACAAAAGTATTAAGAGGCAACTACAAGTCTGATTAATTTTAGAAAATTGTAAATAAATGTTTTGTTTTATTTATCAGCTGTGTTTATTTCATTGCAAACATCTATCAGTGTTTCAAACCTTATTCACGAGCAACAACGACTTATCTATAGCCTCTGTTGCGATTTAGAAAGCATATTATGAAGCTATTCTCTTGTTTGTGAAAGTACCACAACAATTTCAACATAATCTTTCTTTTTCTAACAGATTATTATTATTATTACTTGCGCTCTGATTCAAAAACTCAATACAAGGCAAATTCATCCTTAAAGGTTACATAACACGTAAAGAGTTTTACTTTCACGATTAATATTATTATTATGATTGAATTATTTATTTGAGAAACCCCATATGACTTATGGAGTTTTTCAAATAAACGATTCAATTATTATTATTAGGTAAAACAGTTGTTATTGAGGACAAAAACAAGAACACCATATAATACAGAGCTCGTATGCCACGTGACGAATGACCTCATCACGATTGGAAAGCTATAATTAGAAATGAGTCATTGTGACTAACTGGCAGTAAACATGTTTTACCTTGCACCGAATTAAAATTTGGATTGTTCTCTGCTCGAAAGCTTTAAAATTCGTTAGTTAATAATATGACACTATCATTCCGGAACTTCGTCATAATTCGATAATTTTACTTTTTTTAAGTGTAATTTATGTTCTATGTTTTGTGAGGTTGTATCCGTATGTCAATGCATTGTTGCTCAGCGGAATATTTTTCAATCTAGCTGAATTTGATAAGTGATCTAAATGAGAATTTATTACAGTTAACATTATTGTTAATCATTAACAAACTTCATAAATGAATAGCTTTTCAAATTGTAGAACGAATTAATTGATTACAGTTGGTTATGATAATCAAGCCAAAATAATCAAGCTAAGATAGAAATAAATTGGTCAATTTTTTGTTTAACAATGACTTAATCAGATGACCTTCATAAGAAAGTAAAAAATAGTATATTATACTAGGGTGTGCCAAAATTAAACTTCCGTAAAGGACCTCTTAAAATTAGAATGTTGAGTTGCGCTTTTAACAGGAGTTGTGTTTGGGCATTTCCTGAGATATTTTGAAGGTAAGGGATTTATTTGATTTTCATAGAATTTTTTAACAGGAGTTATGTTTGGCCAAATTTTGAAATTTTAAAATTTAATCAAAAATGCCTAAACAAAACTCCTGTAAAAAAATTCTATGAAAATCAAATAAATCCCTTATCCACAAAATATCATGAGTAAGGCCTCGTGACGTTGTCAAAGCATTTGGCAAGGCAGGTATGCTCAAAGATTATGGGGATGACGGTAGACAAGTAACAAACGAACGAGACACATACAGGGATAACTAACTAAATATTATAGCTCAATAGGCCTTACGGCTACACCTCCCCGCATGGGCCCCGCTGGGCAACTGGTCGGATTGTCATTATATTACCGGCCAGGCCAACGTAGTCGTTGAATGGAGTTGTATAGGGGAGGTTTGATACAGTGAAAAATTACGAGGACAGATTGACATTAAATTAAATACAACTCCATTCACATTCTGTCCAGTGATAGCGTAAAAGCTGGAGGGCAGGGTTTTTCCTTGCCCGGCGAGTTGACAGTGCTTTTGTTTTGGTGAGATTTGGGTTTTATTTTAAGTGCGTGTATAGCTTTTTTAAGCCCAGGAAACGGCCTGTTCGAAAGGAGGCAGACGAAAGTCTCACCAAATAACTCTATCCTCAAAATATCTCAGGAAATGCCCAAACACAACTCCTGTTAAAAGCGCAACTCAAAATTCCAATTTTAAGAGGTCTCTCATGAAAGTTTAATTTTAGCACACCCTAATATTACACATCTAGGGTAGGAAAGTAAGAAAATGTCTCAGATCACATGCAATTGTTAGCCGAGGCGAAGTCAAGTCCCGCTGTGCTGAACGAAGTTGCTTTCCGCCTCAGTCGAGAAGAAAAATAGTATACACACCTTTGGCAGTAAATAAGAAAGCCTTAAATCACATGTTTGTTGGCCGAGGCCTCGCCTCGGCCAACAATTGCGGGTGATCTCGGACATTTCTTACTTTCCTGCCCTAGATGTGTAATATACTATTTACTTTAGAACTTGACAACTCAAACTGAACACTCTTGTAAAGAGATAAATTAGCAATCACGCGTCCTCTGTTGAAGATTTACATCTAATTTTGGTTGACAAATTATTTGTGGAGATAAATGATCACATCAAATATGAGAAATTATGTTTTTATTAATGCTTTTTATTAGATGGGACTTAAGGGGGGGTATATATATATATATATATATATATATATATATATATATATATATATA